CCATCCACAACCTGAAACTATACTACAAAGATACTGTGATAAAAACAGCATGGTACTGGCAAAGAAACAGACCTGACGATCAGTGAAATAGATTAGAAGATGCAGAAACAACTCTGGACAAACTCAGCCACCTCATCTTTGACAAAGGAGCCAAACATCCTCACTGGATGAAAGATATCCTCTTTAATAAATGGTGCTGGAGGGTTTCAACTTGCCAAGGATTAAAACTAGACCAGTATCTCACACTGTGCACTAAACTAAAATCAAAATGGATTAAAGATCTAATATTAAAATAGAAACACTAAACTGGCTGGAGAGAGGTTAGGTAGGGCTGTTGAAGACATTGGTGTAGGAAAAGATTTTGTAAACAAAACCTCAGTTGCCTATAACCTAACACATACAATCAACAAGTAGGATTTCTTCTTATTAAAAGGTTCTGCATGGCAAGAGAAATATCCAATACTTTAAAGAGACAACCCACACTGTGGGAAAAACTTTTCACCTGCTCTTCCTCAGACAAAGGTCTACTATCAGACCTCCCAAATTTAAAGACCCAATCCAAAAATGGGCATCTGAGATGAACAGACATTTCTCAAAGAAGTAGAAATAGCAAAAAAGATATAAAAAAATGTTCAACATCACTGGTCACTTGAGAGATGCAGACAAAAACCACACTAAGATTCCACCTCACCTCAGAAAGAATGGCTGCTATCAAGAAATCAACCAATAACAAATACGGGTGGGGCCACTGGGAAAAATGAATCCTGCTCCACTGCTGGTGGGAGTGTAGACTGGTGCAATCACTGTGGAAATCAGTATAGAGATACCTCAAAGAACTGGGATTAGAGGTCTCATTTGACCCAGCTATTCCTCTGCTGGGTATCTTCCCAAAAGAATTAAAAGAATCATACCACAATGATACATACATATGCACTCATATTCATAGCAACACAATTCATGATAGCTAAAACTTGGAAGCAGCCCAATTGCTCATCAACAGGAGACTGGACAAAGAAAATGTGGTATTTTTTATAAAATGGAGTACTGCTTGGCCATAAAGAATGAGAAACTAGAGACATTTATAGCTAAATGGATGCATGCTGAGGCAATACTCTTAAGTGAAATAAATAGGACACATGTGTGTAAATACCAAATAGTTTCTCTAGTGTGAGAAACTGGAAGTGTAAATAAGGACTACAAGGTATAATAGACAATGTAAAATAAGAAGAAAAGGTGCAAAGGGGAAGGGGAAGTTGGAGGGACGGGACAAAAGAAAGAAAAGAATGGAATTAATATGAGAAAAAGAAAAAAGTGGAAACAAAGTCTTTATAGTTAGGGAGGGTTAGAGGGGTTGAAGGGAGAGCCGGGGAATGGGGAAAAAATAAGAACCAAGATGGACTCTGTAAAGGTGCAAATTTCCAATGATGCATGTCACTACATTGCATACCTTCCATGTACCAATAAAATTAATTTTTAAACATTATTTCATTTTTTAAATAAAAAGACAGAAGGAACTCAAGTACCCATCAATGGATAAATGGATAAATATCTGTACAATGATACAGTGAAATATTATTCAGCACTCAAGAGGAATGATATCTTGAATATGCTATAGCATGGATGCATCCTGATAACATTATGCTCAGTGAATGAAGCCAGATACAAAGGACTATATATATTGCGTGATGTCCTTTGTGTGAAAGGTTCAGAATAAAGGAATCAGTGCAAACAGGAAGCAGATTAGTTTGAACCAGGAGCTCCAGGAAAGGGTAAACAAAGAGCAAAGAATATCACATTTCTTTTTACAGTGATAAATATCTGACAGTTGCACAACTTTGTGAGTACATTAAAACTACTGAATTGTACAGAATAAAAAGGTGAGTTTCATGGTACATGAATAATATCTCAAAAAAGTTATTTTAGCTGGGCGTGGTGGTGCACGCCTGTAATCCCAGCACTTGGGAGGCTGAGACAGGAGGATCGCTGTGCTTTCGAGACCAGCCTGGGCTACATAGTGAGTTCCAGGTCAGTCTCAACTACATAGTGAGACCTTGTCTCAAAAAACAAAAACAAAAATAAAAAGATATTTTAAAACAATGAATGAATGAGAAGATTGAGGAGGCTGGTTATCAAAGGTGTGATGAAGGGGCAGAACATGTTGAACTTTCCATGTACCGATCCACTACCTTTTCACTCTAATTCCTGATCAGAGTGTTTAGGTTCTTTTAGTCCGTACCACATTATCTGTGACCCAATCTGTTGGTTGGTCAGAGTTTTTTCCTTTCCTTCTTAAAGTTCAAAATATGCTTAAATACTTATAAAATGTATAGGAAAGAAAAATTAAAACCCAAATATAGGATCCAACCTAGGGAAAACAGTCTTTGCTGAAACAGCATAAAAGTGAGCTGTAGGGCTTTCTTTCTTTTCCACATTTTGTTTGGTTTTCAAAATGCAACTTATGAAAACTTTTAAAATTACAGATTTCACATAAAGCTCATGTCATATTCACAAAGCCCAGCTGTGCTAGAAAGTATAATACTAAGGTTATTCCAGTTAAAACTTCATAAACTACAATATGTTAAGGACCCCACAGGAGGAAATTTTTTAGTGCAAGACTACTTCCTGCTTTCTTTTGTTAGAAGGCCAAGCCTTGTTTTCCTACCCAAAAAATCTAGATAGCACAGAATGTCTGGCCATAGTATTTTGGGACTAAAGTACACTTAAATAACTTTTACATGTGTCAGGAATTGAAAATATCTTAATTGGAGAATAATAATAAGGGAACAGAGAGATAAAAACAAGTTCTCTGCTACAAGGTATAACATTAAAAAATATACAGTACTTTTTTAAAATTGCTTAAATAAATATCAAGTGACAAAAGTATTATCATGTATCACTTACAAAAGTGATGTGACATAATAAAAATTTTAAATATACTTAATTATTCATTCAATTAGTTTTTTATTGTGTACTATACACCAATAAAAACAGACTACTTCTACCCTTCTGGACCTTAAAATTTATTCAGTACACTCTGACTACCCCAAGCAAGTAATAAAATTACATAAAGAAGTATGAAATACTTGAAAGAGCACTGACCAGAGAGTCTAAAGATCTGAAGCTCAATTCCATGTGTACCAGTTACTCAGCAAGTGATAACTGGATATGTTAACTCAGTTTCATACCTTGAAAACTGGTCTTCCTGGCCTGAGAATCTCATCAGCCAATTATAAAGAGCACAAAGAAAATATTCAAACATGTCTTGAACACTATCAAAAACTATTGTCACAGGCTAGCACTATCAAATACTTCGCAATAAATAATTTCAGTTAATGTGAACAATATACTGAGAGTCTGTGCAGAATGACACAAAAACTCAAGACTAAAATATCAAATACATTAACAGCATGGAATCACACACATTCAAAGGCTTCAGCCTTCTTCATTTAATCATTATAATTTCATTTGAACTTCCTCTAGATATCATATTGTACTCATATTCTCCAGCAGTGTGCCAGCCAGAGGAAGAAAAAAATGAGTCAACCAGATGTCTATCAAACTTAAAAACTGAGCAGTAACCGCCATATGTTTTATTATGCTTTGTTGTACATGTTTGTCAACCTTATCTGAATCTTTACAAATGATGGAACTTTCGCGCTACAGACAAATCCACTTAGTAGAAGAAAATGATAATTGTAATTGCAACCACATTAACTTGGCTGTTTCTATTTAGATTATCTCTGCACTTCTGAAGGAAAACACAGTCCTCTCAAGTAATGAAGTGTTTAATACCTGAACAAAACCTCAAAATTAAAGTTATGAGGAAAATAAATTTAGCGTGACCTAATCATGGTTTGCAGATCATGAACCCATCTCCCTACAAATCTCCAGTGAACACTAAGCATGACAAATAGTTAATACACTTATATGTATTAACATGGTGAAACAATAGAATCCAGGCAGTCTGTCTTTTGGAGGCTAGAGAAATAGAGTAATCCTGCAATTCATCAAAGACTAGAAAACATATACCATGATAGCTAAAAGGCAGCTTAATCCTTCCCTTTCTGGCTCAAAATAAAACTCCATCACAGACCTAAAATGTGATATCCCAGTGTGGGTTTCATGAACAAGAAAGGAAAGAAAACCACCATGGATGGGTGAGCATTGGGTAATTTCCAACCATATAACCTTATCTTCTTAATAAGTGGCAAATAGGCAAAACAACTGTGGGAAAAGGTCTCAGTCTTTATCATCTCTATTGGATCATGGCTGAAGTTCCTTGGCCCTTTCCACAAAAACCCACTCACACCCAGCAGTCTAGAAGTTGAGTGATTGACTCAAGATCAGAAAGTTATCAAGGGACAGAGTCACATTCCAGACTGTGATGTCTGCCACCGTGTGTGTCACTGTCCCTCACCCCCAGGAATTTTTCTCCCAGCTCTTTTTCTGTAGTAACAAATCCTTTCATTTGAGTTTTGCACATGCCATTTTTCTCAAGGTGTGATTTTCAGTCACCAACATGTGCACCAACTTTCACAGCCACTGAAAGAGGGGGAAAGGGAAGCAAGATACGAAGAGCACACCGATAGCTCAAAAGCAAACAGGGGAATGACCCCTTTAAACCACTTGCCATTCATGATGTAATGGGGATCCCTCCTGCACAGAACCAACGACGTGAGTAACTTAACTTACTAACTTAAGCATCTCAAAATAATACCTGGAAAACATTTGTATGAGCTTTCATAATAAGCAAGCAGCATAGTTTTTATATCCCAGAAAGATTGAAAGGCTTGGACACAGTCTCATTTCTTACCCGGGCTCGTTCTGGACCGTGGAGACACTGGCATTTCGTGGGTAAGACAGGGCACTTCCCTAGGCTTCCCAGATCACTGGAGCTCCGTGTATAACAAGGAATTGAGAGGGCTGCTCGCAGCAATTAAAAACCTACCTGTGGGTTCAACAGACATTAACGGCCACTCTCATTCAGCACCTCAACTTACTTGTATTCCTGTGACGCTGGTCCCCACGGAGAGGAGTTTCCACGTCCCAGGCTGGATGGTGTTGGGTGGGCCGAGCAGTAGGTGTCACTGTACTCTTGTTGTATACTGTATTTATATGAATAATATCAGGCCCTTGAACTTCACCATCAGTGACCAAAGGTTCACTTTCATTTGATTTAAAATAGGTTTTCTGTCCTGGGGGCAGAAAAAAAAATATTTTGAAACATTACTAGAGCTGGGCCTGGTGGCACACATTTGTAATCCCAGTACTTGGGAGGCTGAGGCAGGAGGATCCTGAGTTCAAGACCAGCCTGAGCTTAAAATGTATATATCACATACCACTAGAGTTGCTTTCCATAGAGACAAACACAAAGAGCAAGACAGTGGGCACTGCAATGCCCTCTTTCACAAAGACAGCCAGGAGAGTTTCTCTGCTACAACAAATCACACAGCCCTGTGAGAAAGAATAGCTCTGTTGAGAACTTCAGGCTTAGAGACTGACTATCCTACCTAAATTTCCTGGTCCCCAAAGAATTTTCTTACCTCACTTGGGAGTTTACATCACTAAACAACAAAAGAAGTAGCAAATTTTATAGTTTGCTCAGTTTCTTAATTTCCACATGACTGTGTACTCCCAGGACCCAGGAAGTTTTCTCAGTCTCACTCATGACTAGCTCGGTAGTGTATCTGCCACCAAAGGAGACAATATGCCTCTCTCAACTTGTATCTCCCCCAGAGTTGGCAGCTAAACTTCAGGGAACTCTACAGAGCATGTAAACAAAAATAACAGAGCTCAGCTAGTCACCAAGATTTCAGTCATAGGAGCAAAAAGCACAAAATAAGATGAGAAAGTAATGACCAGACGCTGTAAAATAGAATTACCTGAAATAAAAAATTGTCATTGAACTGTTATCAGCTGGCCACTTTAAAAACGTATCCATCTAAGCAGACAAAACAAAGACTCAAACCTAAAAATATTGAGAGTCACCTGGCTTTGTCTTTAGGTAGAAGCTTTAAAACTTTCAAAGAGATGGTGTACTTTTAACCCAAACAAAATAGGCTACAGGCTGTGTTTCCAGAGTCAACGAAAATAATTGACTGTGATATTGATCTGGCCATAGAAGTACCAAAGGGAAACATTTTTTTTTTCACTAAAAGCATTTGCAGTGAATGTTCTAATTGGCTCTCGCTTTTCTAAACAGACCCATGGACCATTAAAGGCAAAGGAAATATAAATAAAATGTTTAATATCAGGCTATGGAAAAAATCTCTCTACATGTGCTTGACACTTGGAAAACATTAACCCCAAATCAAAATAGAAAAGCAGCTGTTTTCTAGCTAAGGTCAACAATTTCATCTGCCAGAGGACTCTAAATGAAATGCAGGAGCAGGAGACTAAATTATTCAGGTGACTCCAAGGTATTCACAAGGGTTTTAATACACAGAAGAGAGAACTGAAAAAACTACGTGTCAGAGTCATGAAGTATGAGAAGAATCAAAAGGACATTGCTTGTTTTGAAGAGAAAAGAGGCCATAAGCCACGGGATGAGTGTGCACAACCTTTAGATGCTAAAAAAAGGCAAGGAAACGAATTGTCACCTAGATCCTCCAGAGAGAATGCCTTAATTTTCATCTTGTGGGACCTATTTTGGACTACAGAGTTTCATAACTCTTAATACAATAAATTTGTGTTTTAATTTACCAAGTTTTGGTAAGAGAAATAGCAGTGGAGATATAATAGCAATAGGAAAATAATAACTGCTCCTAAATGCCTTCTCTATAGGCCTCAATTGAGATAGCCTTCCAACAACTCTATGAAATGAGTGACATAATTAGTCCCTTGTCACAGTTTTAAAGAGAAGGCAACTGAATCTTATTAAGAGTAATTACCCACGAATTTGATTGGGATGTGACACACAGACATATATGTACATTCCTACACACTTCATACCTTGATGAAGAATATTGTTCTTTTAAAAATGAACCATTATATGCTTTCAAAATTTATCTGACTATGATGTGATTTTAAAATTAATTCCTTATCTTTGTGTCTGTAGCCACATATAACATGTTTACTTTGAATTTCCTATGTGCCAGGAACTTCATACTTAGTCTGCTGAAACACAAAACTTAGGTAAAGGTTCTTACCATCAAGATGTTTATATATTAGTTGAGGAGGCAGGCATGAATGTAAAAATATAAACCATGTTGTGACTGCTTTAAGGATGATATGCATAGGAAGGACAAGCTTGTGACAATGAAGTAGAGTAGAAGTTGCTCTTCCATTTGAGAAGATCAGGAAAGCTCTCTTTGGGGAGTAAATACTTCTTGCAAATTTAGAAGAGGATTACATATTTGCTAGTTTGAGAAAAGTATGTGTAGGCAAGGGGGCTCTATAATAGTGAGGGGAGCATTTTTTCTAGACAGCACAAAGAGCAAAAGACACAGAAAAGTGTAGGACAAGGTATTCAAACATGGGTAACACAGAGGGGACTAGTAAGAGAAAAGGCTGGCAAGTAGGAGAAGCCAGATGTGAATGGTAAGTCTTGTTAGAGTTTTGGAACTTATCTTGTTGTGACGAAGATCTTTTGAAGAGCCTTGAGTCAGATGGAGCTTTATTAGATCACAGTGGCAGCCAGCAGGTGATGTATGAAAGGGGTCAAGCCAGTGATGAAAGACTATTGTGATATTCAAGTGAGAAAAAAGGCATTGCATCAGGTGAAAGCAGTAAGAGCAAAGAAAATATTGGGAGAGCTTTTCCAGAGGCAAATACAAAACGGACACAAGGAAAGGGTTTTCACAGGATTCCAAGATTTCTGGTCTGAACGACCGTAAGAACAAGGGCTTCCATCCGTGATGAGTGCGCCCCTCTTTAGTGCCTCTCATCCATACTGCAACGCTCCTCTCCCATTCTGTTGGGCCAAATGGTGGGGCTGCACCCCTTGGCCTAACAAGGGTTGCTTCTAGAGAGTGGGACGCTTATTTTATTGCTGATATAAGAGCTTCCTGTCCTCTGGCACAGTAGCCACAAAGATAGGGGCTGGTCCTTGAACTTAGCCTCTGAAGGACCTAGATCAACACAGTCCTGCCATCTTGCAAAGGACACACAGCATTCAAGAGAAATTAACCTTTGCTGTTTTTAAGCCACTAGTATTTGGGGATTGTTTGTTTTTATTGTTAACACTCCAGTCTAGCCAGACTAATACAATAGACGACAGGAATGAAGAATAGGTTTGTGAGAGCTTCTTTTTGTTGTTATTATTATGCACATATTGAATATAAATGCCTATGAAACATAAGGGGGAAAAGCCCAAATCTAGAGCAATCAAGATTTCTCTTGAGGCCTCGCCAGACTCCCAGATGGGCCCCTTCCTTGTGTTTCCAGGGCACACGCTGCTTACATGTAGCACACAGACCCAGGTAGGGTTGTCTTTCTTAAGCAGGTCTGTGTCTCCGGTACTCAGAAAGAGCCTAGCACTCATGCTGGCCTCATTAGTTGTTTGTTGAATACATGAATGCCAAATGAATTGATGGGAATGGATGGAGAAAGGTAAAGTGCAAAGTGAGAAAAGAGATTAGGACCGACACCCTGACTACATTCAGCAGTTAGGTAAAGGAAGATGAGTTTAAGGAAACTCAGGGTGACCAGAGAGATAGAGGGACTTCAGAAGTCATCAAATGAAGGCCAATTTGCAGAGCAGCTCAAGGGGGAGAAGTTAAAACCAAGATGAAATCTGGATGGCACACGAGAGTGGAAGAAAGCAATGCCAGTGCCAACTAACGATAAACAGGAGTGAATGTGAACAAACGGAGAACAGATTGTCTCCTTGTTTGTCTGTTTTATGTTTTGTTTTGTTTTGCTTTTTTCTGAGACAGGTCACACTATGTAGCCCAGGCTGGCCATGAACTCATGGTGATACTCCTGCCTCAGCCTCCCAAGTATGGGATTATAGGCGTGCGCCACCATGCTTGCTTGGCTCCTTGTTTTAAAGTCTTGTTCGAATACATATGAATTTCAAATGCAATAAAAAACACTTTGGCAGCCTTGGTAGGACAAAATGTAGTAGCTCAAAAAGAACAGAAAGAGGGCACAAGCAGATTGCAGGGCAATGAGAGCAGCAGGAAGCACAGTGCAGCAGATATGGAGAGGGTCCTGGAACCCCAGAACCTGAACTTCTCCCAACCTCCTAGATGATGCTAATGCAGCTGCCCATCAACCATGCTTTGTGTACAAAGTTTTCAACACCAAGCTGGGCATGGTGGTACATGCCTGTAATGTACATGCATTTGGGAGGCTGAGGCAGGAGGATCGCTGTGAGTTTGAGACCAGCCTGGGCTACATAATGAGTTCTAGGTCAGTCTCAACTACATAGTGAGACCCTGTCTAAAAAAAAAAAACAAAAACAAAGTTTTCAACACCATTCCAAAAATCCTGAAACATAATATATAATTTCATGATTGGAGCTTAAGAAAAAAAAAAAATACTCTCATGTTTAAGATCCTTATAGAGAAAATTGCACCAAAAAGCTGTTGTTATGAAAAGAATTTGAAGATTTTAATATGTAATATGGAGTCAAATCAGAAGAGCAGACAGAATCTTGTGTGTGTTCTCCATGGTAAAATTATCTTCAAAATGTAACATTGCAAGTTAAGAAATTAAGATTCTTATGATTCCAAATTCTTGTAAAAGCCACAAGCTGCTATGAAATTGGCTAAGAGAAAAGAAAAGCATTTAAATTCAGTGATCTCCAGCTCATGCAGCATTTTGGGAAAGGAAATCATTTTTTAAGACAAATGTTTCTTCTGAGTTCAAGAAAAATGAATTTTTTTCTATACTCTCCATACCATTAAAATGTTTCTATTTTCATTTCCTTACAAAAATTAATTAATAAGCCAAACGCATACCTTTCATAGCATTAAACAAAGTTAGAAAGGTTTCCTTGGGCCATTTTTATAAACTCATTGTTAAGACAAGTTAAGGTGGGGGCACTGAGGCTTGAACCCAGGACCTTCACATCGAGCTGCACCCCCAGCCCTTTTCTCTAAGTCACCAAGTTGCCTAGGCTGGGCTCAAACTTGAAATCTTTCTGCTTCAGCCTCCCAGAGTGCTAGTACTATAGGCATGCACTGCTACGCTTAACTAAGAAAATTTAATTTAGATTGCAGTTGAGTGAATGAGTTTTTGAAGTCAAGTC